TAGATGTCAGCAGCACTCCAGGAGGCAAAACATTCTATTAGAATGTTAAATTATCTGTGTAGACGCTTAGGTATAATGGGAACGGGAATCAGTACAGAGGATCTTCCAAATAGGATCGAAAAAGAACACTATGCCCAAAAATCAAATTATACTGCTTACTTTTTATATAGGGTTCTGTGATTTTAAAAATTAAAATTTTAACCTATTCTCAAAATAAAATAAATTAATACTTATGGGACTCCCTATAATCTTTAAGAAGTGTCAAGGTACATTCCCTCCCTACATGTGTATGACCTGGACATAGGAAACATTTCCAAACTGTTTTCCTAAAGAAATTATTCCGTATCCATTTGCCATAAACGGAATCCCAAGATTAGTGGTCTTTCAAATATATATGGGGAAACACAAAATAATTTTTTTCATGTATTATTTAACTAAATGTTCATTGTATTCTGGGGAAACAAAACCAATAAGTCACAATTAAGAAAATATATTTACTACAAAATGGAAACGTTTTATCTGGAACCTACTCTCTTTGTTCAAATTTTTCAACTAAACATTATTATATCTTTGGAAAAATCTTCCAAATTTGTTTTCTTTTTCTTATAATAGATCCTTCTGTTAACTTTTTCTTTAGATTCACTTAATCTTTAGGATTTATTTTCATGGAAGATGTAGAAATCAACACCATTGCCTTTAAAAACCCAAGCATTTCTTGCCTAATATATAATTTCATGAAGATTCTTTATGAAATAAAATATAAAGCAGTATTTGAAGAAATGTAGTGCATAGATCAAACAGAGAAAGTAACTTTTTAATGAGATTAAAAAAAAACATTTTTCACATTTCTCTATAGATTATTTATTTTCTTGAAATTAATCACCAGTTTAAAAAAAAATCTCCACATTAAGGAAAACTATTCTGGTTTTTTCCTGATTATCTGCCCTCTATTCTTGATCATCTAGAAATACACATACAATCTTGCTCCATGAAGACAAATCACCATTTGGGAGGTGAAAAATTAAGAGTAGTTTGTTGTCACTTAGAGTTGAGCACTCTGTAGCCTCTTATTCTCTGCACATTGGGCAGTTGTGGATTTCCGTGGTAAGGGCCTTTTCACTGCAAAGAGAAGCTTCTCTAAAGGGGGGAGAGAGGCACAAATCTATGGGTATAACCTTAAGTCATTAGGGGTCATCTTAATGCACTATTAATACGTAATACTATAGAAAGGCAATACTATTAGGATACTATTAGAATATTAGAAGCAGCGTCTCCCTAAAGCCTATGGTCCTCCCCTACCACATTCTAGGATCTTGGCTCCAGTTACAGTGCCAGGTAGGGACACAATCTCATGGAGTGGGCTTAAATCTAGTCAGAAGGTGTTTGGTTACTCCCATAACATTCATGCTACAAATGCGCTAGTGGGCATTTCTTGTCAGGCTAGTCGATACTGTACCTTGCAGTATTCCAAGCTGGGTAATAATTGCACATCGCATGGTTCAGAGCTGGGTGCTACTGATCCTTGCTTTTTTCCTCTGGTAGCAGGTGCATTACCTTCCAGCACCGTGAAAACTACCCAGTAAGGATGATGCTTCCAGTCAGCACCTTGCGATTTCTCCAACTATATCACATCCCTCCCTGCAACGCTCAGGGATCTTCCCCAAGGGGCAGCAGAAAGATTGTAAGAGGCAGAGGTGGAGGATGACTACAAGACAATCGTGTTTTACGAACAACAGGGAAATTGCACATATGAACTCACAGCAGTTGTGACAGCGTGCACAAGACCGGGCTCAAGCCAGACAAAATCCCAGCACGGGGTTGGGAGGTGGGCATGAAGTCCCACCCCTAGCTAAGGGGCATTTGAAAGCAGCCAGAAGAGTAGAAGAGTCCGTTTTCTTTAAGGGTGTGACTCCTGGTACTTCTAGACATAATCTTAAAGACATTCAAGTGACATAAACTTTTCAAAATTATTTTCAAAGGCTGTGTGATGACAGCCTCTTGAAGACCCTCTTAAGTTTCTAAAAGGATTTCCAGTTTCCTACTCATTTTGAAATAATATTGTCTTTGCTGAGATACCCTCAGCCTACTACCTCTTTCTTCCATTTCACTGCTTATCAAAAGCTATGAATATTCATGATGTCACTAAAACTATGGCTTCTTTTGAGGTATCTCTGATTCCAAGACCCTGGTCAGAAAGTCAGGACCCATGATTGAACTTCCCAGCCTCTGACCTGTAGACCACTGTAAGTCACCACCAAAACAGACTATAAACAACTTAAAGGATTTCATTCATTGCTGTGTGGGATAGAAGCCCAGAATTTTTTTTATTACATAAAACAAAGTAATTCTTTTCAGGTATTTCTGAACAACATTTTCACTAGTTGAAGAAAAAGGGCCCTTGCTGATGAATCTGGAAAAAAATGATAGCAAAATGGACCCAGTCAGGGAAAGGACATCTTGCAGAAAACGGTTTGGTTTGGGGTAAGGCTGGTATAACCAAGTGGAGATGTCCTAAGGTCAGAAGCTGGAGACTGAATTACCATGAAGAATTGGACTTCAAGATCATGGAGGGACCATGAAAGGATGATGGATGACCTTGCCCTGGGAGTGTGTTCCAAATCTGTCTAAGACACTTAGATGGATGGGGGAATGAGGTCAGGAAGACAGCCAAGGAGCAGGCAGGAAGGAGAAAGAGTCTGGTATGTACAGGGTGCAGTGAGCACGGAGATATGAAAAGAAGCCAATGATTAGTGCTGAGGAAGGGCTGGCTTAAGTCTGATAAAGACTAAAAATCAGAGGCTAGTAGCTGGGTAGAGAAGAAATCACAGGAATGGCCAAAGGACTACGCATTTACCCAACAAAGCTCTGGGCATATTTAACTTATAAAGCAAAGAGTTCATATTTTTTTCCATTTCTATTTTCTGCTTTATAAACTCAAAAGCTTTGTTTCATCAATGGAAATGTTAGTGTTATTTCTTACATAGACAAATAAAAATTATCCTTCAAGAACAGGAAAAAATAGTATGCTGATTGGAATTATAGTCATATGTTATCAACAGTTTTTTAAATGTATTATGATCTTGTAGACCAGAACATAAATTTCATTTCGATCCACAAGCTTTGGCAGATGATTTAAATTCCATTAAATATAACAATAGTATTTGTGTTAGGTTTTGTTCAAAGATGTTCTGTAGTATAGTTATGTTTTGTGTAACATCTCTAATAAATGATAGTCTTTCATCCCTTAATTCTTATCTTGGTGACATGAAAAGAAGTCAAAATAGCAATAAGAGTTCCCTTGGGAATTTTATACAATAACCGTCACATCTACATCCATTAACATCTTCTTGAGACAGCATCATAATGAAGTATTTACAGATAAGGAAAACACAACAATATTAAACTATGTAAGAAGAGAGAAGCAATATACTTTCTTAACCTTCATTATTCAAAAACAGCTAAGGAGCTTAAATTTCAAATGACTGAATCAGTTATTGAAACACCCGCACGTAAGATACACAGAGGGGTCACTCGGACCCAAAGAAGTCTGCTTTCCCTCACACTCAGAACTTTGAGTTCTTTTATAAGTCAATGTGCTACTTTACAAAGATAGAAACAAATAATTTTGACAAGAGGACCTAGCAGAGTTACCCGCAGATCATTTTCTCCACCCAGCCCTTCAACCTAGTCTCCAGAGGAATCTGAGGCAGCTGAGCAGAATTTGTAAGACTCCAGATACAAGATAAGCTAGGACACCCACTTCCAACAACAGAGGATCGTGAGGTTGCAAAGTCCAAAGAGCATAATTTTATTCTTCAGGATTAATAAAACAATATCTTCCTCTCCATTCTTTTGGCTCATCCAACAAGCATTTATTAAACACAATATATGCCAGGAATAATTGTCAATACCCTAGTAAACAAAAATTGATGCGTGCCAACCTGACATTTATATTAGTGGCAGGACTAGGGTTGAAATGGGGTGGTGTAGAACCCACAGAAAATATAATAGATGAAATTTCAAAGAAATAGAACTCCATGATATACTAAAAAGGAGAAGGTACTAGAGAAAGAGTAACAAAGTCCAGGTTGGGATGCACAGCAATTTATTTTGTTTTGTTTGGTTTTGTAGAGACAGGGTCTCCCTGCAGCCCCAGCTGGCCTGGAACTCGCTACATCAGGCTGGCCTCGATCCCAGAGATCTGCCTGCCTCTGCCTCCTGAGAGCTGAAATTAAACACCTGGCTGTATAGCAGTTTTGAACAGGCAAGCAGGGAAGTACTCAAATGAATGTCATATATGGGCAGCACAACAGCAGCTCTGAGTCCTTTCGCGAGAAGCTGATACGTCTGTGGTTTTAGAAAGAAGGTGCAAGCATTTTTCTCTTGAAATTTCTTTCATTTCAGTTCAGGGATATGATGAATTTTTAATTTTAATGAACTTATTTTAATGCACTTAATCTTGAAATAATTGGCAACTTGGTGGTAATATAGGAACTATTCTGGTTATACAGGGTACTGTTATGAAGGAGAAGACTTGTGACATTTACGACATCGAAAGAAAAGCTCATAGGGTGAGACAGAAAGAACATCAGTAAAATCAAGGTGATCTGATTTTCAGACATGTGTTACTGCTCACGGACCCCGTATGCTGACAGCTCCATATCCAATTCATATAATTATCACAGCATAAAGGAGGAGTGTTTACACAGGAAAGGTCATTTGTAATCTAAAACAAAATGGTCTCAGCATGTCCACCCTGAGTGAAAGTCCACTGAATGAATATTAATGATATATTTAAAATGTAGAATTAAATACATTAAAAAAGCAAAACAAAACAAAACAAAAATGGCCTACAGCCAGGAAACTATGATTCTCAATCTGCCTTCCTAGTTAAACTTTTCTAAATTATCCCTGCTGCAGACACCTGCATAACTTTCCATTCTGTCACAGAAGTCGTGGAAGGAACTTTGCAACCAGCAAATGAGAATCAACGAAGTTACCTGTAAAATCGCAACCTCGTTACGGAGCTGGTTTTCTTGTTTCGTTGGAAACCTTAGTTTGTCAATAATTTTAATAGCTACATCTCTTCCTGTTTTACGATGTTTTCCTGTAAAATTAAAATGAGAAACATTAGCTAATTAATCAATAATATTTCTATGAAAAGTAACAAACCTTACAAAGACAGTTTTCAGGAATGATACAAATGTGTCCACAGTTAAGCTAGCCTTCCTGAAAAACACTGACATGAAGGGTTCATTTCTTAGTTGTAATATTTTAACTAAAATATGGAGGTTAAAATTAGCTATAACTTAGAACACAATAGAATCAGGCCATGAACAGCTGTAAGTACCAACATTCAGGTATTTTCTCATGAACTGTGTTTGAGAAAGAGGACACTAACCGACTTAACACAGAAAATACTCATTCCACTAGCAAGATGCTCAACTTAAGAAAGCAAAATT